GGCATTGGTATGTTGTGAAGGCTTTGACAAGAAGCTCCAACTTCCATGACGAAGCTCACTGACAAGAAGCTTCATCATATGGGGTTTGCTAATATTGTCAAATAATTCAAAATTTAATGTATTTGATCTTTTTATTCCATACAAGCTTACGATAAAATTGTATTTTACTCTATTGCTCTAAAAAATGAATCATGTATAAATATTACTTTAAAAAATTAAAAGTCTAAAATTTTGATTATGTATTTCAACCTTTTCACTATAATGTTTAAAATGTGATTGAAATACTTCATAAAGTTACACGAGATACCATCAGTTAGATTCAAATAAATAAAAATCTGCTTAAATATTACTCTTAATATATGCATTTGAATATACTTTTTCTTGTGAAAATTGAATTTGATAAGATTATATTTTTTCTCATACTCGTGCGGACGCATGGGTCTTCTACTAGTGTGAATCATAAAATACTTCAAATTGTATTTCCTTCATAGAGAATTGGAGTGTCATGTGATACGACCATAAAACCTATAACTCAGTAACAAAATATTAATTAAAGTGAAAATAATATTTTGTTCCAAGAAGCTTAGAGATTTAAATTTTACCTCATAGTTGTTCTGACCATATGCCCTTTGGCTTTTTTTAGTTTTTTCTTAATGTTATAAAGGACGGTTTTGTTGGAAGATTCGACTTGATCCTTGGCTTAAGGATGTTTTATCGAGACAAATTTGGTTTGGATTTCCAAATTATGGCAAGATTCTCTTATTGTTGAGTTGGAGAGTTGAGTTTCATTATTGGAGACGATGCTCAAATTTGTAAATGTTTCACTTCTAGTAGAAACACCCAACCCTTTCTGCAGTGATCTTCGATACCGGCATTGTCTCAATCTATTTAGAGAAATAGTTCATAACAACAAAAATAAATTTCAATTGCCTAGAGACGACCATAATGATCCCCACATCAAATTTGTTGAATGGAGGATTTCAAAAAAGGTGTGACATAAATATGCAAATTGTTACACTTATCACATTTTTTTAACAATGTTTGAGTTGGACTTAACAAGGTTGGGCATTAGTACTTAATCTTAGTAAAGATTAAGGGGCAATTGTTTCAGACTAGGCATATGACTTAATAAGATTGATCAAATTCAAAGGTCCAATCTAGATATTAGATCCGCTAAAGTATGAAGAACGTGTAGACCTTAATTAAGGAGTCGCACACTAGACCTAGTTACAACACCCATCTCTTCCGTTGGAATCAATCCAACGGTCTCTTGTTCACTGCATTCATTAGAGGTGGTTCTTACCGTCATCCATATAATTTGGTGGGGTTTTATGCTGGATCAAAGTACGATTAATTATATTCCTATAAATTACATCTCTCTGACCTTTCTGACTTGGGTGTTGTGCGTTGGAGCGCTAACTTTGCAGATACACTCCTTTCCATCTACCAAAGACTCTCATTGTTGTATCAGAGAGATTCTACGATGAATTTCACAGCGCATCACTAATTTCTTATTTAAGATTGGAATATATCTTGAACACAATGGACACACACGATGTAGAATGAGAGTTGTTTGTATTTTGAAACATTCTAGAGTTGTTTGTATTACAAGAAAAGAAAGATAAAAGACAAAATTAGTGAGGACACAATATCAAGATTCTCATTACATCTGCAAGTAGCACATGCGCTATTGAGTATGGGGAGTATCCCACAACTTAAGACTAATATCAAGATGAGCTTTATAGTTAGCCAACTAATTAGCACATTCGTTGTCTTCTTTAAGGATATTGGTAAAAGTCAAATATTAATTTCAAGTCTTGAAATCTCGAATCTAAACCAGGACAACTGCATAAGGATGATAAGTGATGTCCCCTTCATGAATAAGATCAATAACGGATTTGAAATCTGATTTCAAAATAATAATGCAATGACCTAGATTCCAAGCCAATGGAAGACCTTTAAGGATAACATAAAGCTCTACCATAAGGTTAGAGGCATGACCGTACAATCCAGAGAAGCCATAAATCTAATCACCAATAACATTACGAATGAGTCCACCAAAATCAGCATGACTTGGATTTCCAAAAGAGCTACAATCGACGTTTAACTTTAGACTAGGATCCAAAGGAGGAAGCCATGCAAAATTTCAAATATTTTACGACTTGGTGACAATCTTCAAAACCTGCGACATAACGTTATGAGAGTTAGAAATACAATTACCAATCAACAAAGTATGCTTCTTATTGGATTGAAATATTTCCTCATTCCCAACTTTCTAAATTCCCAACAAGTGATGACAAAAAGGGACTCAGTAGGACCACTAGTATGTTGACGAAACTAGATAAAGAGATATGTAAAAAGAAAGTCTGCAGAGTTTGGAAAAAGACTAGTCCTCTAAACAGTCTTTAAAATTGGACAGACTCTGAGAGCATGGAGAGCAGTTTCATATAAATGGTTGCATCTACTACAAGAAGCAGTTGTGGAGAGATAACGTGACATTCTAAGGGAGTTAGTGGAAAGAGAATGGTGGATGATGAACCACGAAAAGAGACACATGTTCTCGGGCACCTCTAACTTTCAAATTTAACTATAAGAATCTAAATGAGTGTCTTGATGATTCAAGTGACAAATCATCCATATATATTATAACCATTCGATGCTGAATAAATTCTATTCGAGGAGCCATTTCGAATAAGAACATCCTCATGATTATTCCATTTGTAATTCTAATTTAAAATTTTTATTTAAGGTTTATTAAAGTTTTTTTTCAATTAAATATAATAACAGAAAAATACAGGTAATATATGATTGGTTAATAGATACCACTCATATTACTCACAAGTACACCCTATTAAAAAAAATACACATGAAGGGGTTGTTTTACAAAAATGAGAATCAAAATTATTTAAAATTAAAATGTAAATATCAAGTTTCATGAGAACCAAAACAAAGTTTTTTTAATACTTAATGATCTTATCGGACCAGAATAAAATCAGCAACCAACAACGCATCGCGAGCTTCTAATTCGTCGGTGGTTGTGAAGAGGATGCAGGGTGTACCTGCAAGGTACTACGATGTCAAAGTAAGAAATAGAGTAAAGAGAGAGCAAATACAAAGTGTAAATAATAGAATACCTGACCCTCTAGTAAAAAAAAGTATTTATTGTGCCCCTATCACTAGGCCAACTGTTATTTGCATTGACTTGGATCATTAAACCTAATATGAATAATTGGCCGGGGCTACGTGGCGTAGAGAAGACTAGCACGCGGTCTTCATCCTGATCCAACTGTCCCGTGAAGGACCTGTTCTCTCGAATGCGGGTAGTTGGTTGATGACGTGTCTCCGCGTACAAAGCATGTGGAGACCATGGGAGAAACACGTGAGAGCTCCCCAGATAAAATGATGAATTGGACATTCATTGGACCTTCTCTAATGAAGAGTTGGGTTGAATCGTGTCCTCCAAAACACTTAATATATATGGTTAGTTTTTAATTTGTTTTATGTGTAAAAAATGTTATTAAAGTTTATATTTTAAATTAATTAAAAATATTTTATGAATCTGTAACAGTTAATGTTGGTTTATATTTACAACCACAGAGAGAAAATATTTTTTATTACTATATTTGAGATTTAGAAAGTAATTCATGTCTCTTAACCCAATTAACAATACATTAAATATTTCAATTTTATTAATATTTTGTTTTAATTTATTTAATTTTCTAAGCTAATTAATAATTTTTTATTTACACCACAATACAAACCCCATCACCACATTAGTTTAAAACTAAAATAAAATGCCATTGTTTTTTTAAAAAAAAAATTTATATCACATGTTTTTTTTCAAGATATTTATTTTTATTTGAGCTCCAAAGTTATTTTTTTATGATAAATTCAAATAATATCACTGTTTAGAAAGAATATAATTAAGATAAGAAATAATAATGAATAAAGAAACTAATAATAGCCTTTTCCATAAGAATTATATTGTCTTATTTATATAATAGGATATGCTCGTTTAAGAATAAACTCCTTTTTTTAGCCAAACGAATGAGATCCTTAAAAAAATAAAAAATAAATTATTTACAATAGAAAAAAGAAAATTTACCGTTTAAATAAAATAAATATAGATCTTAACCCTGAAAATAAAGAGGAATTATAGAGTAGTAATGCCAAACAATCATCTGTTTTTGGTTTATTAATAAATGTTCTTTGAACAATCATTTGTTAATTATTATCTGTTATTCTTAAAAATAAAAAATGATATATATAATAGAAAATATATAGAAAAATGAGATATTTTTTAGATTTTTCTTATGATGCTTGTATTATTTTTCCATAAAAAATAAAAAATAATTAAGGTAATAAAAATTTAAAATCTTTATAACAAAATTTTCAAAAATCATAGAACAAAAATTCAATAGTAAAAAAATTCAATGCCATATCATTTATATATATATATATATATATATTTTTTTTTTTATTTAAAAATATGTTAATATTTTAAATCAATTTTTATTAAAGGTATCCATACCCAACTTATAATAAATATCTAAAAATTTGCCTAATGATTTTATCATATCATTTCTCAATTTAATGTTTAATGAAAATATCAAAATATGATAAATTAATATAAAAATTTATTATTCTCTATCTTTCTAATTAAAATTTATATTCTATATCTCAAATAAGTTATAATCTAGTAGAATATGATAACATTGTAATTTATTTCTTCCTTAATCTAAAAATTATATTTTTTAGATTAATTGATTAGTCATTATATTAAATTGTTTAAATATATGGATTATTCAATTAATTTAACAATTAATTTTTGTTTTATATTAAGAAAAAACAACTATAAGACAACATTATTAAAATATTATCAAATTTGACGACAAAGTGTCGTCCTACGTTAGACGAGTTGTTGAAATTTCAACATGTTAGTCCTCCTATAAAAACCGCACACATTCACCACAACCTAACTCACAAAACACAACATTCCAATGGCAAAACCAATACTATTCTTTCTGTCTTTTTTTCTTCTGTCTGTTTTCTATACATCCTTAGCAGCACCATCTGCATCAGATTCTTTATATACCAATTTCCTTAACTGCCTCAAACAAAACAACACAGATCCATCTATCTCCGACATTGTTTTCCCACAATCAAACCCTTCATTTTCCACTGTCCTTCAAAACTACATCCGTAATGCACGTTTCAACACTTCCTCAACTTCCAAACCTTTAATCATTGTTACTCCAAAACAACCCTCACATGTTCAATCCACTGTTATTTGCGCCAAAGAAACCAACGTTCAAATCAAAATCAGAAGCGGTGGACACGATTATGAGGGTATTTCTTATATCTCAAATGAATCACCCTTTATCGTCCTTGACATGTTCAACCTAAGAACAATCAATGTTGATATAGAAAACGAGGTTGCTTATGTTCAAGCCGGTGCTACACTCGGTGAACTTTATTACGGTATTTATGAAAAGAGTAAGGTTCATGGCTTTCCTGCCGGTGTTGGTCCAACTGTTGGTGTTGGTGGTCACTTCAGTGGTGGAGGGTATGGTACCATGTTGAGAAAATATGGTTTATCTGTTGATAATATCATTGATGCTGAAATTGTTGATGTTAAGGGAAGCCTTTTGAATAGGAAATCAATGGGAGAAGATCTGTTTTGGGCTATAAGAGGTGGTGGTGGTGCTAGTTTTGGTGTTGTTTTATCTTATACGGTTAAACTAGTAGGGGTTCCTGAAACTGTTACTGTTTTTCGTATTGAGAAATCTTTGGATCAAAATGCCACCGATCTCGTTGTTGAATGGCAACAAGTTGCTCCGACTATTGATGATAGGCTTTTCATGAGGCTTCTTTTGCAGCCTATAACTTCCAAGACTGTCAAAGACACAAAAACTGTTAGAGCTTCTGTTGTTGCTTTGTTCCTCGGAGGCGCCGAGGAAGTAGTGGAAATTCTAGGTAAAGAATTTCCACTTCTAGGATTGAAAAAAGAAGATTGTATTGAAATGAGTTGGATTAACTCTGTTATTTGGTACAATGATGATGAAGAATTCAAAAACGGTGCGAAACCGGAAAGTCTTTTGGATAGGAATCTAAATTCGGCGAGTTTCGGGAAGAGAAAATCTGATTATGTTCAGAAAGCTATACCAAAAGATGCATTGGAATTGATATGGAAAAAGATGATTGAGTTGGGAAAAGTTGGATTTGTTTTCAACCCTTATGGTGGAAAAATGGCTGAGATTCCGGCCGACGCAACGCCTTTTCCTCACCGTGCCGGGAACTTATTCAAAATTCAGTTTTCAGTGAATTGGAAGGAACCAACACCTAATGCTACATTGGAGTATTTGAATCAAGCGAAGAGCCTGTATAGTTTTATGGAACCTTATGTGTCAAAGAATCCAAGAAGTGCTTTTTTAAATTATAGAGATCTTGATATTGGGATTAATAGTTTTGGTAAGGATAGTTATGAAGAAGGTAAAGTTTATGGTGCTAAGTTTTTTAATAATAATTTTGATAGGTTGGTTAAGATTAAGAGTGCCGTTGATCCTGATAATTTCTTCAGGAATGAGCAGAGTATTCCTGTTCTAGCAGAAAAGGCTTAGATTCGAGAATCAATCAGTTGTAAAGCCTATTGGGCTTATTTGATGCTATTAATTACTATTTTGTTCTCACTTTAAATGACAGGATTTGAAAATAACAAATAAATAAGTGCTTTTAATTGTTTTTATTGTTGTTCTGATCTCACATTTGGATGAGATCATGAAATCAATTGGTCTCTTTAAATTTGATTTTGCGAAGGTAAGAGTATAAAAAAAAAACTAAAAGTCATATCGGAAAAAATTTGAAAAATAGCTCATAAAAATGATGAAATTAACTTAAAATTTTTTGAGAATTTTTAATCAATTTTGATTTTAAAAAATATTACACGCAACAATTTTAATAGAAGAAGAAAGAATGAAGATTAAACAAGATGATTAAGACAAGGCGAAAATAAGAGAAGAGAATTTTCTGTGAATACAAGTTCTTACAAAATAAGGGTTATTCCCTTTATTTGTAGACGAGAAAACCCCAAAACACAAAAGTCCAAAATTACTAATTTTGGTCTTAAGTCGAAATCATGTGTCAAACAACCTGCTTTGACACTTCGACATCTAAGTATCTCGACACACACACACACATTAGGCTAATTCAACTAATCTCTGTTTCTGTCGAGCTACACTACTTCAAAACAAGGAATTACAAACTCAACGCACCATCTAATTGGTTGTGTCTAAGCTATCTACATTCATCATAGACCTTAGCTTCTTGAACACTTCGACTTGCACCCCTTTCATCATGATATCTGCAATCTGATTCTCAGTTCTGCAGTGTTCTAAATTCATCTTTCCTTCTGCTACCTACTCTCGAAGATAATGAAATCCCGTTTTGATGTGCTTGCTTTGCCCATGTGTTATTGGATTCTTCGCCAAATTGATAGCTGACATGCGCTCGATCTTCATTGTAATTGCTTCATGATTCTTCGTTGTAATCTCTTCGATCAGGTTCCCCATCCATGTTGCTTGACATGCACAAAGAGAAACAACTATGTATTCTACTTCGCATGACGACAATGCCATTACTGACTCTTTTCTCGAACTCCAAGCAACTGGTGCACCACATAGCATAAACACATAACCAACTGTGGATTTTCTATCCTCAACATCACTACACCAACTTGAATGAGTGTATCCAACTATCTTGCATTATTTTCCTTCATCAACTGCAGGAAACAAAATGTTATAGTCTAAAATTCCTTTCAGATACCTCAGTATCCTCTTCGTCGCTGCTAGGTGTGATACCTTTGGCTTTTGAACGAATCTACTTACCATACCCACACTGTATGCTAAGTCGGGCCTTATGTGACAAAGGTGTCGAAGTGATAAGTCTTTTATATTGGGTCGGGTCGAACATCATTTCACATCAATTGCCTTCTTGTCTTGAGGCAATTCGACAAGTGAAATGTGTTGTTGACTTTGATGGACTCTAACTCTTCATTTATTGCTTTCACCCACTTCGAATCTTTTAATGCCTCAGCTGCATTGACTGGTTCGACATCTGCATGGAAAGCATAATGTACCAGCTCACCTTCTTTATCGACCACATCATATGATGTAATCACACATTCTTGCAACCTTACATGCATGTGTCTTGTTCATCGAAGCCTGCTTGGGTCTGCTTCACCTCTGACTTTGTCTTGTCGAACTTCTCTTTCGACTTCACTAGCTGGTTCTTCATATAAGATTCTCACTGAGTCCTTCTTAACATTCTCAGTCCAATCCCATTGCTTAAGCTCATATATGATCACATCCCTGCTGATCACAACATGCTTGTTCACTGGGTCGAATAACTTGTATCCTCTAGTTAAATGATATCCTATTAGAATCATTTAACTCGACTTGTCATCAAGGTTTCTTCTCAATTGATCTGACACATATCTATTTGTTATAGATCCAAACACCTTCAAAGACTTAGGCTAGGCTTGACACCAAACTAACATTCTTCTGGCGTGATTCCTTCTAGCTTCTTCGTCAAACATCTATTTAAGATGTATGTTGCAGTCAACACAACTTCTCCCCATAATTTTTTGGGTAGATGCTTGTCTTTCAACATACTTCTCACCATATTCATGATGATTCTATTCTTTCTTTTTGCATTTCCATTCTGTTGTGGAGTGTAGGGTGGCACCAACTCATGCACAATTCCTTCTTTCTCACATAATGCATTGAAATCTTTCAAGACATACTCTCCAACACCATCAGTCCTCAGAATCTTTAGCTTTTGACCACTTTGTCTTTTGACCATAGATTTAAACTTGAAAAATACCTCAATCACTTCACTTTTCTTCTTGATCAGGTAAGTCCACAGTTTTCAACTGAAATGATCTGTGAACGTGACAAAGTATTTGTTACCTCAAATCGAATTCACCTGGATAGGACCATATACATCAGAGTATATGACTTTAGAAATTTCCTTCGACTTGCTTCTTGCATCCTTGCTGAAGCTATTCTTGTGTTGTTTTTCTTGAACACATTCTTCACACACTTCACTTGGAATGTCGATTTCTGGTAATCCTGAAACCATATTTCTTCTCTTTAAATCTCTAATGTCTTTGAAATTGAGATGGCCAAGTCGATAATGCCATATCCATTCATCTTTGCTGGCTACAACTGCATTGCACTTATGCTCCATCACATTAAGTTCAATCTTGAAGGTTCTATTCTGAGACATTGGAGCCTTCAAGATTAACCTACCACCTGATTCGAGAAATCTCATCATCTTGTCTTTGATCGACACCTTATAGTTCTTTTCGATCAACTGTCCTATACTGAGCAAATTACTCTTCATGCTTGGTATGTACAACACATTAGAAATTACTGACCTCTTGCCATCTTTCCTCATAGTCAAAACATTACCAATACCTTCATCCGCTAGAGTATTGTCATTTGCAAATTTCACCATCTTCTTTATTGAGGGCTTCATGTTGATAAACCAATATTTTCTATCAGTCATGTGTGATGAGCATCTTGAGCCAAGTATAATTGGTCATGGAATCTTTTTTCATCTCTTGTTGTGTCCATCAACAACTTCTCTTATTCTTCATCTTTCGCCAACTTTGCATCAGTGTCTTGATTCTTCTTATTTTCTCGACACTCACTAAAATAGTGACCATACTTCTGACAATTGTAACACTGAATGTGACTTTTGTCAGGGTTTCGACCATCACCTCTTCTTCAACCTGCAACACCACCTCTTGGTTTGCCTTGATTCCAGGGTTTTCTCTTATTCGACCAGTTTCCTTCCTGCTGATTTTGACTAGTCAAATTGTTGTAGCCTCCTCTGCCTTTGTTGTCATTCCAACTTCCTTTGCCTTTCTTTTCCTTTTCTGACTGCGCCTGCAAAGCCATATCACTCTTCGACTTTCCTGCAGCTCTTTCATCCATCCTTTGTTCATGAGACTCAAGCGCCCCTTGAAGCTCTTCCTTTGTCAATGCTGACAAGTCTTTCGACTCTTATATGGCTACTACTACATGGTCAAACTTTGGAGCCAATGACCTCAAGATCTTTGCAACAACTGATCTTGATGTCAACACTTCTCAATATACTTTGATTTGATTCACCAGTTTAGTAACCCTAGTGAAGAAATCAATTATGCTCTCACTTTCTTCCATCTGAAGCAATTCATATGTCCTTTTGTGAGTTTGTAACCTCACCTCTTTCACCTTCTCTGCGGCTCTAAACGATTTATCCAAGATTACCCATGCTTTTTTTACTGATTCTACATCACTAACCTTTTTAAAGTTATCTGGATCAATACATTGATGGATTATAAAGAGAGCTTTATAATCTTTCTTCTTCAATTCTTTGTATGCACCCTTTTCTTGATTCGTCGCGTTTTCTGCAAGCGGTGCTACTCATCCCTTCACAAGATCCCAAAGATCTTGATAACAGAAAACTACCTTTATCTGCTTGCACCAATTCTCACAATTATTGTTCTTGAGAATTGGAAGGTTCGGCGGAAAATGCTCGTTTAGATGATTCAACGCCATCGTGATTTTCTTTCCTCGAATCACAACCAGAGTCAGATACCAGATGTTAGAATTAACCCAAAACCTTTTAAGAAATCCTAATAAATCTTGATCTCAATAAATATTACACACATCAATTTTAATGGAAGAAGAAAAAAAGAAGATTAAACAAGATGATTAGGGCAAGACGAAAATAAGAGAATATAATTTTCTTTAGAGCTTCTCTCTTCTTCCAAATTGGAAATTTCTTATTCACTTTGCAACTGAAAAAACTGTGAATACAAGTTCTTACAAAATATGGGTTACTCCCTCTATTTATACATGAGAAAGCCCAAAAACACAAAAGCCCAAAATTACTAATTTTGGTCTTAAGTCGAAACCCTATGTCAAGCAACCTGCTTCGACACTTTGACATCTAAGCAACTCGACGCATGCACACATTAGGCTAATTCGACTAATCTCTGTTTCTGTTGAGCTACACTACTTCGACGCAAGGAATTACAAACTCAATAAAAAAAATCACTTATGAGACTGGTGGTAGTCCTTCCACTTTACAAATTCCTAAAACTTATAGAGTTCACTCAGTCATCATGATAACAGTAAACGCATGAACAATAATATACATATACAAAAAGTTAAAGCAAAGAAACAAATGAATAAGGAATAGAAGTGCATCATTTAAATTAGCATAGCAGAAAAATACAAAGGTTTTTACAAGTTTTTCTACAACAATATCTATGTACAAAACAAAAGCCAAACATTTGTATTTATACTAATGCTAAATCAAGTGCATGAATCCCTCAATAACCATTAATAAGCAAGCTTAAAACATACTAATAAAAGAGTGAAATAAAAAGTTTATAATATAGAACATAAAAGAAAAATAAACAAATTAAAGAAAACTAAGAGGTCTGAAAACATTACAAATGTAATGCTTATTATTAGAGAGTAATATATATACATACTTAGTCTATAAGTGTAAATGACTAAGCTCTTTATTTATTACTAGAATTGAAGAAGATGAACATGGAGGTTCA